GCTGCATCCCCTTGAAAGGGGACTTTGAGGAACAGCGTCTTCTTTTCCACGGCGGGTGTGGTGGGTTTGGTTTCTCTTTCCATCATGTTCTTTTGAATAAATCTCTCAGGATACCGTTTTCTTGAAGCAGGTCCTGGATTCTCTTGAGCTCTACTTCAATTGTGTCTGCCGAGCCTATTTTTCTAGCCCTTTGCGTTAAGCAGCGGACTTAATTGCGCTTCTGTTGAATGGGTACGAAGCTGTTAAAGTTTGTCTACTGTCCGGACTAGGTTTTATTTCGATATACGCTCCTTCAGACGCTGCCGTTAGGTCTTCTGCTTAGGAGGACGTGCAAGAATGGAAGCGAACCTGTTGTTTCCACCTCCAATGTGAACTCAATAGAGGGGTGTGCTTGATTGACAGTATTTAGAAGCACATCTACATCGGTTTCTGCTGGAGCAATGGCGAAGATACCATCGACATAGCAACCGTAGTGTTTTAACTTATAGATCTGGTCGCTGAGTTGAAACTTCTCCAGCTTGACCATGAAGATATTGGCCAGGAGAGGCCCAAAGGGCGAACCCACGGCGACGCCGTCTATTTGTCTATATAGCTGGTTGTCAAACTGGGACTGTATATTTTATGTGCATCTTAGTAGTAGTTCCTTTAATACATCTGTTGGAATTCCTACTTCTATGTGATAAGCCGATAGAAACTCACAGATGTAGTCGGGTGTCTCTGTGACCGGGACGTTTGTAAACAGCGATGAGACGTCTAGGGAGAGCATCATCAAGCCATTTAAGTTTATGGCCTTGAGGTCGTCGGTAAATTTGAAGGTATCTTGAAAGTTTCGTGGTGCCAGCTGCTGCTGTAGGGGTTTGAGTTTATCCGCTACCCACTTCGCTATCGCATGGTAGGGTGAGTTGTGCATGTCCAGAATCGAACGAACTGGCAGGCCATCCTTGTGAATATTTGGTTGGTCATACCAGCGAGGGATGTGGGTGCCTACTGGTCGGAGGCGTTCGAGGTCACGGTCGCTAATGAAACCTTCCATGTGGAGCCTTTTTTAGGTAGTCAGTCAACTGTGCCTCTACGTCATTCGTGCAATCCTATTCTTTGTTTACTTTCTTGAACTTCGTCTGATCTGATAAGGTGGTCTGCATCTTTCGTATGTAGTCCGATCTGTTCATTATAACGGCACCCGTTCCTTTATCAGATCTAGTAACCGGGATGTCTTTCTTTTCTCGCAGTTGCTTTAACTTCTCCATGTGTGCTTTTATCAGCACTCCCCGGCTTGTTGGTCTCTGGTTCAATTACTGGTAACTACAATTCACTAGTGTTGATTTAAAATACTGAACACTTTCTGCAGAGATAGACTTTAGCTCATAAGATTGGTTATACAGATTCTCGAACTAGGTTTCCAATTCTAACTGATTAACCTTTCGGGTAGGTATGCAGGATTTTGGAATCAGGGATAAAACTTCAATGGATGTTTTATCAAGCATCATAGGGAAGTAGTTGTGTACGTACCGAGCTGGATCTTCGGGTATTCTTGCTTGTGGTTTGCGCTCGTGCGCCCTTTGTAAGAGTGACGATCTCTTTGCGTCTCCACGTTTTGTTCCTATGATCTGCGTATAGCTTATGAATTCCTGTCTTTTCGCGTCTGTTAGGGTGTCCAGAACGGCAGCGCGTTGGAAAACGTGACGCTCTAGTTCTCCCATCTTTATACGAGTACCCTCCAATTGGTTTTCAGCGTATCGGTTCAAGGTATCAACAATGATAACAGTACGATTACGGCGTAGAGCTCTCCAGTATTCGATTGGATACGCATGTCTTCCCATACAGTCCCCAATAAACTTGGCCAGTACCTTCGCCTTCACAAGTTTGGTATTAAAATTTGTGTTTTCTTTTCCTTTTCTTTATATCTTATCGACTCCCTCGGAGAGGTATTCACGCCAGGAGGCCCATCATCTCGATTCTACTTTCCAGTACACTAAAGGTATTCTATTTCTAAAAGGCCTTTCTCAAGCTGCAATAAAGGATATCGTCCGTCCTCCGTTGGAATTTGTATACATGGCATAACTGCAACACTAACTGAATTTCCCTGAGCGACTTGAACATGCTAGTCCTCAAATGAAGGACATTCCCCTGCCTATCATATCCGGTGCAATATTTTGTTACGTATTGCGCTGCTCCTCCATTCCTGTAGTACCAAACGAACTGAGACGATATGCTTTAACTACGTTACACAATCTTGTTTATCCTGATGTCCGGTCTACACAGCTTATTGTCTGCAACCGTTTCCTCCCGTTTATATTTTTTCTGTCAGAAAGCCAAAATTCGACGGTACAATAATGCCCCATCGACACTTTGCTTGCACCTGACGCAGATTTTGCATTTGCGCATACTAATCTGATAGGCCCTCAGTCAACATCTCGTGGTTGCAATTATTTGTTAACTACACTTTACCGAATTACGCGGTGGCCCATGACAATCCTTATTCCAAATGTAACTTTAGGTACTGTAGCTCACACCCTTCAGGAAGACTGGGTTTCCCACTAGGGTGTCCCCTCGACTAGTACCACCGATCACGACCAGCAATTCGAATCTAGAGACCTTAGTGCCCTCCTCCGATGTTCTTGCATCCGCACGACGGCCTACCCTCCATCATTTACGGTGTAGTCGAGAATTTCTACCATCAACACAAAGCTTCGCTCTGGATCCATGAAACCCCCTGCCATTGGAACGGGCATATGCCCTCGGTCACATTCATTGTTCGTACTGCGCTAAAACCGTCTTGGCGTGTTTTGCGGCCACACTTCTTCACGGCACTATCCTACGGGTTCTTGGGGACTTTTTATGTAAAACACAAAGACTAATCGACATTAATCCTACTGATCTTGTTTAAAGATTGCGTCGAGCAATAACTAATCTCCAAACCATCCTTCCACGTGCTCCAACAAGTAAGTCAGATATTGACCCTAAGTTTATAATGTATTCTTTTGTATTTGTCCCCGTAGGCCACTATGACAGCACTTCGATGGTCCAGTTGAGTAATATCTCGCAAGGAAAGCAGTTTAAAATTTGCCGTGGAAACCACACCAAATTGGTATCATTCAACCGCTGTACAATAGCTTATACCGATGTATTACCAGCAATGGTTAGGAGTGCAGAGTACGCGTATTTCTAGCTTATTAGCTTTCGTCAGCTGCACATACCCAACTCCAGTATAGCCACAGAAACTGCCACCTATGTACATATCTATATCCCGATCAACAACCGGCAAGACGTCGACCTTTTGGCTCAATGGATAGGACGTTCGTCTCTAGCTCACTGGTCACGGGTTCGAAACTCGAGTGTAGCGGCAGTTTCAGTGGTTATACTGGGGTTGGGTATGTGCAGCTGACGAAAGCTAATAAGCTAGAAATACGCGTATTATGCACTCGTAATGTTTGTGAAATGTAAAAATGTGAACGAAGGGCCGAGACCGGAGGAAGGCATTATTCAGTCATGTGCATTTGAGTGAGAAAGAACGCCTAGCGTTCTAGGGAGCAAGGGGAC